GCACAAAGCTCGGTCGAAACCTCTTGAAAGCAGTGCTTTCCCATGAAGATCTTAGATGGGTCCATTGGGCCCGGGAGCGCCAGGCCCGCTGCGCAGCGAGTCGCGCCCAGCGGGCCTAAAAGGCCTGCCGGGGATAGATTCGGCCAGAGTTCGCAGTGCGAACAGCCTCGTGGCGTTCATGGCCTCATGTTGCCAGAGCCTGTCTCAGCGAGGCGTCTGCTGGTCTATTGAGAACCCAGCCAGAAGTCTTATCTGGCGCATGCCTTCCCTGCAGAACGTGTTGCGATCAGCCCACAGAGTGGAGTTCGACGCCTGCATGTTTGGCAGTATGCGCAAGAAGCGCACGGCAATTCTGTCGAACCTAGCATGGTTCTCGGGCCTTCACAGAGACTGTGACGGTGGCCACAGACACCTTCCGTGGGGCAAAACTTCCATAGACGGGGCCACAGTGTGGTCCACGTCCCTGGAAAGCGCGTACACCACCCAGCTCAGCTCCGCGTGGGTATCCCTGGCAGCGGAACAATGCGCAGAGCAGCTAAAGGCAGCGCCTCTCAGCCGCAAGCGCTTGAAACGCCTTCGCTTTGAGCCCGATTTCAGTGACAAGGTCACTCTCGAAGGCACTGCAGCGCGGTGCTTTAGAGGCTGGAAGACACCTCAGAAGATTCCACATGCTTGGTCCTGTTTTCCAAAGGGCTCCAAGCTCATCCAGTGGATCGAGTCGGCTCAGAAGGCCATCATCTCCATCCCTTTGCAGCCACTTCACTGGGTGCGCAGAGCGCACCTCATTGACCACCCCGCCAGGGACATTGAAGCCGTGCCCCTCTCCCTTAAGAGGGCAATCTCCGCCGAAGTGCATCAGGACACCGTCCTTTTAGCCAAGCGGCGGACGACAGCGTCGATGCAAATTGCAAAGACCTGCACAGAGTGCAAAGCACTGGAACAAGCGGCGCGTGCGTCTAACGATGCTCAGGTTAACAGCGTTACCCTGCCTAAACAAACAGTGGCGTTGGAAAAGCTGCTCGAAGAAATAAGCTTTCCAGACCGTTCCGTAGCTAGGCAGGTGCGGGAAGGTTTTCCTCTCTTGGGGTGGATTCGACCCAGCGGGTTGTGGCCGGTGCAGATTCTGCCCCCTTCATTGGACGAGACATCCATTCTGCAGAAACTCTCACGGCATAGGAATGAAGGGCGTGCGCAGCGCGTTACGCCCTCCTGAAGATGGTGTCTCCACCAAAGTGTGGGAGAGCACACTTGAAGAGAGCCAGCAGGGCTGGCTATCGCTCGAAGACTTCTCGCCCGCCAGCTTGCACGACACGATAGTATCGTCTCGCTTTGGCGTCGTGCAAAAGGGCAAAGTTCGCCCAATCGATAACTTCAAGAGCAGCTTCATCAACAGTTGCTGCGGCACCACTGAAAAGGTGCAGGTCGATAGCATCGACGAGCTCCTCGCTGTTTGCCTCGAGTGGCTGCGCCAAGGCGTGCCTGCAGAGCAGGCACACCGCATAGTAGGCAGAACCTGGGACCTCAAGAGTGCCTACAAGCAGCTTGCAGTGCAAGCTTCTCACAAGAAGTTTGCTTGCGTTGCAATGGTGGACCCACAGAGTGGGAAAGTCAAAATTGCACATCTGCATAGCATGCCCTTTGGCGCGGTGGCAGCCGTGCATGCCTTTTTGCGTTGCAGCGAGGCGCTCAAGGCTATTGGGCGCGAAAAGCTCGCCTTAGTGATGACGAGTTTTTTCGACGACTTCACGGTTCTTACGCGCAGCGCGCATAAGAAACTCGTCAGTTTGGCAGTGACCAACATGTTTAACAAGCTTGGCTGGCAAGTTGCCACAGAGGCCAAAAAGAACGTCGACTTCAGCGAAGTCTTCGATGTACTGGGCGTCCGCGTGGACTTGTCCAAGCAGCACCTGGGCGAGGTCTCTGTTATGAACAAGCCGACAAGGGCAGCAGAGCTGGGGATGGTCCTCAGCGAGGCCCTCACCCGTGGCAGCATGTCGCCACTGGAAGCGCAAAGCTTGCGCGACTCATTTTTGCTGAGCAGCAGGCCTGGGGCCGTAACACTCGCATGGCAGTGATCTGCGTTGGTGACGTGCCAGGACCTGAGCAAGTCCCCTGTCCGAACAGCAGTGCCAAGCCATGGCTTTTCTGTTGCAGCGAGTAGTGCACGGGCCGCTCAGGACAGTGTCCATCCATGCACGTAGGAAGTTCCACCTGTACATCGACGGAGCCTGCGAATGGGAGACTCCGCGCTTAGTGCCCAAGTGTGGCCTCGGTGCAGTGTTCATCGGTGAAGGTATTGCCTTTACCTGGTAACTGCAGATCAGCACCCAGGTGGCAGCCCAGTGGGTTGCCAGAGCTCAGAAGCACCAGTTGGTTTTTGAGTGTGAGCTCCTGCCATACTTGCTTAGCCTTCAGCTGTGGGCTAAATACATAGCAGGCAGCGACCTGTTTGTTTGGATCGACAATGACGCAGCGCGTACTTCCCTCCATAAGGCCTTCACGAGGAAGGCAGAGGGAGCAGCGATAGTTTCGCAAGCAGTTGACTTTGAAGAGACCCTGCAGTGCAGGGCTGCCTTCTTTCGGGTCCCTACTGACAGTAACATTGCAGACGGACCCGGTATAGAGACTGGTGGGAGGAAACTGAGAGGCTGGGCGCACAGCGCCAACATCTCCCACCCAACGCAGTGCCGTTGGCTTTGTCACTCGGCGCGGACTGAATGGGGGGTGCGTAAGGCTTCGAGTGCCTTCAAGGGGGGTGAACTAGTCGTTCGCCTTACCTGCGACCAGCGGTCGTTTTTTTCAGACAGATGCCAGCGGCATCCTTCGCTTCAGTGCCCGAAGATCGGGCCCGAACTGACCCCCCATGTCCGCTAGGAAGAAAAAGAGTGTGCTTGCACAGGGTTTAACTGCAGCGCGGTTAAGGGTTTCCCGTTACGCGCGCAAACGGAAGTTTCGTTGGGAAATAAGCTCCCATCATGCGTGCGTGAATGGGTTTTATTTCCCGCCGAAAGTGTAGACAAAGTTTTGTCGAAAGAGGAAAACAGTGTTTTCACTTGTGTGTGGATAACACTAGACAAACTTTGCCGTGCAGCTTTCGGCTTGAATTGGATCTGTGATCCAAAAGTTTTTATCCCACCCACCACACCCTGTATAGTATGCGGGGTTTGGGACTCCGCTCTTGCAGCAGCGCTGCTGGGAGCAGCGCTTCTTTGCTCTCTCTAGTAGAGTCTGTTCAGCACAGAGTGCTTTGTTGTACATAGGCCGTAGGCCGTCAAGAGTAGTGTAGCCACTAGTAGTTGCAGTTATTTAACATTTCACTTTCTTTCCCGTTGTACGGGTACACCTCTCGTAGAGGTTCAAGAAGGGGGGTGAACTAGTCGTTCGCCTTACCTGCGACCAGCGGTCGTTCTTTTCAGACAGATGCCAGCGGCATCCTTCGCTTCAGTGCCCGAAGATCGGGCCCGAACTGACCCCCCATGTCCGCTAGGAAGAAAAAGAGTGTGCTTGCACAGGGTTTAACTGCAGCGCGGTTAAGGGTTTCCCGTTACGCGCGCAAACGGAAGTTTCGTTGGGAAATAATGGAGCCTTCTTCCCTCGATAAGCGTGCTGGGATCTCGGCTGTGATTAGTGCCTGGGAAGCGTGTCAACAGTTTGCTGCGAAAGAGCAGCTAGGGGTAGCGAGGCCCGTCACACAGACAGATCGGAGTGCGATGAGAGCCGCCTTCGAGGCGACCCACGGCAAGCTTGAAGATGCACACGAGCCTTCCGAGGACTATATCTCGTGCAAAATGGAGGAGCTTGAGGCTCATGAGCCGACGGCTTCACCGCTGTCCGAGGTCACATCACGCAAGACTGTGAAGACTCAGGGGATCCAGACTGCTGTCGATTCCCCAGGCCATGTTCGTATTGTGCGGACAAAGGTCAAAGGATCACTGCCTCAGGGCACTGAGGAGTTGCGCACTGTGATGCGTGTTGAGTGCAATCTGTGGTGCTTCTTGGCCACCAAGTATCGCAACCACGAGTTCTTGCCAGGCATGGACCCCGAATGCTGGAATCAGTGTGTGGCATTTCTGCTATCAGAAAAGGTTTATTTGATGAAGGTGCCAGTGGCAGGCGGCAAGGGCCATCAGACGGAGCATGTTCCATTGAGGCCTCCGTGGACAGTCTTGCTGAATTTCGAGTTTGCGTTGCGAAAGGAGGCTGTGAAACGGGCTGACCGACCTTTGAAGGACACGCTCGTGGAAGTCACGTCTGATGCTCAGCTCAAGGAGCAGTATTTCACTTCACCCATTGCCCTTCAACAGGTTGCACCTCCACCACGCCCGGACCCATTCTGGCCGCAGAGACGGTTCCGACAGTGGGACAATGATTGGTCCAAAACCCAACCAAGTGGCACAAGACGGGAAAGGGGCGTGGCCATGGAAAGGGCAAGAGCGGCAAGGGGGGCAAGTCCAATCGCGATGATTCAAAGGGCGATGGTAAGGGCCCCGGCAGTGGCAAGGGCAAGAGTGATCACGCGCTTTGGACACATACGCCTGATGGGCGTCAGATCTGTTTTCCTTATAATGCTCAGGGTCGTGACGGCAGCTGCGGTCGAGTTCATGTATGTCGCGTCCGGGGGTGCATGCAAGCCCATCCGATGTGGCAGCACTTCCAGAGCTTGGCAGCGAAGGCGGCCGCACCGACCGGGGCCCAGGCCACCAACTGACGTTCCAGGCTCACCGTGCTTTATCTTTTCGCTGGCAGGGCACGGGACGGAGATATCAGATCGCACTTACAGCAGCTCTGCACGTCGCGGGGACTGGATTTGTTCTTGCGTGAGTTTGATTTGCTATGAGGTCCTGAACAGGGTCTATCTTCGCACAGGCTTTGGGAGCATCTCTTCAAGGAGATTTCGTCTGGAGCCTATGATGTTCTTATTTTGAGCCCGCCATGTTCCACCTTTTCGCGGGCCAGGCATCGTTTTGCGGGGGCATTTGGCCCTCGCCCACTTCGTTCACATGTCCATCTGCTGGGTTTTCCTCGATTTCGTGATTCAGATCGCACAAAAGTGGAGCTGGCTAATTTTTTTTGTACAACAGTCTTTAGAGGCCATCCGCTTACAACGACAGCAGGGCTTATACTTCATCCTTGAGCATCCAGAAGATCTGGGCCGTGTGCCATCTGGTGAGAGGCCCGCTTCTATTTGGTCTTTTGATGAGGTTCAGCAGATCTGCGCTGGAGGCGATGTCAGTTGCTGGGCTTTGCATCAAGGCTTTTTCGGGGCTACGTCTTGCAAACCTACACGCTTGTTGTCCAACTTGCCGGGGGCATTGCACTTTGGGATACAGATGCCATGTTTCAATGATGATGGGGATTACGTGGGATCGCTCTTGCGGTGCCCGCATACACATGCAGATCGAGCGTGCGGCTTTCATGATGGAGCTTGGAAGTCGGCCACCACAGCAGCGGATCCTTCGGATTTCGCTGCTTTTTTCGCACGTCTTTCTTTGAGTGTGGTGCCTGACTTGAGGGCCGTGGCCGATTCCGACATGATCCCGATCAACACTCCTTCTTCAGCGGAGGCCTTTGCTACTGAGTGCATTGCGCGCGGTACCTTCGATCGCGCCTCTGTTCAGGTTCTTTTCGACTTGCTTCCTAAGACTCGGCCCCACAAAATCACAGGCAGCGCCGAACCGGGCACCGCTTTCTTTGGAGGTACTGTCCATCAGGAGGGCGTCACTGCGCCGCGATCCACTTGTTATACATTCCCTGAGGCCATGCGTGTGATCAATGCTTTCCTTCGTTCAGTGGACCCGTGCCATCGCTATGCAGCCTTCGTTCTCACAAAGAACGTCAGCAGTGAGGTTCATCGTGATCCGCGGAACGCAGCAGTGCCCAACATGGTTGTGGCGATTTCTTCATTTTCGGATGGTGGCATTTGGATTCAGGATCCTTCAGGTGCCACGGTGCGAACCTTTCATGGCTCGCCCATCGCGGGCACTGTGCACTCTTTACAGGACAGTCCGGTCTACCTGGATGCACGCGGCTGCTTGCATGCAACCCAGCCTTGGGCTGGGGATCGGCTCATCGCGATTGCGTACACACCTCAGCACTTGCAGCTCCTTTCGGCCGAGGACTCTGCTTTTCTGGGTTTTCCTGTCTTGGATTCCTTTCCTGCGGGGGGGAGGAATCCTTCGATCCCCCAGGCAAATCTACCTTGGCCGCGGCAGTGCCGGCGATAGACAACTCAGGCACTGGAGACGCTCAGGGGGTGCCTCTGAAGGTTGACGTTGGGGAGCCGGCCAGGGAAGCTTTTGACCCCAAGACCAGTCGTGCTTTCGGACAGCCCATGATTTGCAAGTTTGAAATGGGGAAGCAGGAGTTTGTGGACGGCTTTGGGTTGTGCTCGCCCGGCCGTTGGGCTCCTGAGGCGAGGGAGAAGCTGGCATCAAGTGATGAAGCCGCACATGCAGGGAAAATTCGAGGACTGCTACGTGACTTTGTGATTGATCAGCTGAGGGACCCCAAGGACATGGCGTTCCGTCTCGCAACGGGCCATGTGAAGAATTCTCCATTCGCGGAGTCGGCATTGCAGAAGTTGAGGCAGAAGATCATCAATTTGATCCCAGGGGCGTCTTCAGACCTGCTGCGTGTACCCGAGCGGCAGCCGTTCTACTTGTACATGCTGGCCGAGTCGCTGAGGCTACTTGGTGACCCCGACTGGAAGATTCTTGTGCAGGGTGAAGAGTGTTATGCCGAGGGGATGCCGGTGGGCTTCGACTCACCGCTGCCGACGGCGCCACAGGTGTTCCGGCCGAGGGACCGTTTCCGCAAGCTTGATGAGAGTGAGTTTGAATCGCAGATGCAGAATTATTCTTCGGCTGAACTGTCTTCGGATAAGCTCGAGGATCACTTCAGGGCTGAGGAGCGGGAAGGCTTGATGGTTGCGACGACTGAAGGAGCAGTGAAGGCGGAGTACGGCGAGGGCCGACTTCTGGTGGCCGCCACGGGCGCCATTCTTAAACCGAGTGGCGACGTCCGCCCTCTCCATGACGCCACCCACGGCGTTCGCTTGAACAATGGTATCAGCATTGCAGACAAACTCGAAGTACCTGGTCCTGCAGAAATCGTCGAGACCGTGTCCAGGGCACGTCAGGATTTTGGTGTCCCTCTCTCCATTTCGGCGGACATTGCTAAAGCACACAGGAGATCCAAAATACGACGACGCGACTGGCCCTTGTTGGGCACGTAATCTGGCTTAATTGCGTAGGAACTTTCGGAGTTAGTTCAGCTGCGATCCTTTGGGCTAGATTGTTCGGATGCATCGGACGCTGGGTCTTGAGTGTGATGGGACGGCTCTGGAATGTGCAAATCGTGTACGTTGATGACCTTCATATCGTGGTGACTGGTCCAGCCAAATACGTGGTGCTCTGGATGATTCTTGCTGCTTACGAGGTGCTTGGCACGCCGTTTTCCTACCGGAAGTTTCACGGTGGTGTTGAGTGCGAGTTCGTGGGCTACTGGCTTTCGTACCGGGAGAGTGCCGCTGGGATTTCGCTCAAGAGGACGCGTTGGGTTCTTGATTGGATTGACAACGGGCGAACAACTGGTTCATCACGGGTCGCCGCTTTGCCGAATTCCTTGGACGGCTCAACTTTGTTTCCAGAGTGTTGACTTGGATCAAGCCTTTTCTTGCACCTGTGTATGCTTTTGATGCCGTCTTGCAGAAGGGGACTGTGGCGAGGATTCCGGAGATGGTCTTCGTGTCGCTGGTGTACATCAGGGAGCAGCTTGCGGATTCCAGAGGACTCCACAGTGTGCTTCAGGATTGGCGGGCACCTCGAGAGAGTTTCAGAACGGATGCAAAATGTGCCAACGGCTTGGTGGTGCTCGGGGGCTACTCACCTGAGAATGGGATGGACCCGTCCAGAACCCGTTGGTTCTGCCTCGATGTGGTGCCACAGGACCTGCCTTGCCTTTTCAAGGAAGATGGCGACAGCCAGTGGGCATCGACGAGTGCGGAGATGCTGGCCTCGTTTGCGGCGCTGAAAGTGTTTGATCATCTTGAAAAGGAGACGGCGGGAGTGCACGACAACATCAGGACTGTGGTGTGCGGCGGAACTGACAATTCTTCGACGGGCAAGCTGCAGAAGAAGGGCTCGAGCACTAAGTGGCCGCTGATGGGCATTCAGATGGCGTGTGCAGCGGCTTTGCATAAAGTGAACAAGCAGCTCACGTTGCAGTGGAGGCCCAGAGATGAGAACACTTTGTCGGATGCCATTACCAACCACGACTTTTCGAGTTTCTGCCCGGAGCTGAGGGTTCCTTTGAAGCTGGACGATCTGCCGCTTGACATTTTCCTTCGCATGGTCCACTGGAGGGCTTTCTTGGATTCGCGTGTCAGCCTGCAGCGATTGGTCTCGAGGGAGTCGGCGATGTCTGTGGTGATCTTTCACATGTCGGACTGGCTGCCTTCCTTCGGGGCGGGGGGTCTCGAGGCAACTGCGACCGTCATGTGAACATGTGGCGCATCGCTTCGAGATACAGGCATCAGTTCGACGCACCGATTGAAAACATCCGTCATCTTCTGCAGCCTCACTTCTGAAGCGCAGTGGTTGGAGATTGAACGATTGCTGATTCCGCTTGTCTTCACTTGAGCTTTAGCTTGGAGCTACGTGATTGTGGATATGATTGGACGTCAGCGTTTTCCAGTGACTTTTGATTTCCCTTAAAACCCTCCCTAACCCTCAAGGCTCGAAGGTTCGGCTCAAGGCGTGAGAACACGCTGCTTGGGTCCTACCAAGGCACGTTTCCGCTTGCGGATAACTCTTGTCCCACGGAGCGGAGCGCAGTTATGTTTATCCTGGTCTAGCGAAGCCAAAGGCGAAGCGCACTTGCAGTTTTCAAACATCATTGTTTAAACCAATGTTTTAACTTTCGAGATCTTTAACAGATTCCGTTGTCATGCGATGATGCTGTTTTTAGCATCGCCTTTTTGATGCTGTATTTTGCATCACGATTTCCTGCATGATGATTCGGTAGATACTTGTGCGATTTTGAATCATGTCACCCGGCGGCGTGCTCAAGGCTGAGATTGCCAAAATTTTTCGAAGGGGCTCTCTAGAGGCTTGTAGCTTTGCGTCTAACAGGCCCGAGTCCTCCGTAATCCGGTGTTGCTCTTAGAGCACCGTGCAAGAGCCCTGCTGGGGCTCGGATGGACTTTCGCCAGGCCCTTGAAGCGGGATCTTCGGCTTCTGCTTCCAGTGACACTCAAGAAGCCATTTCCCAACATTTGTACGACCTTTCATTGCAAGTTGCTTCTCTTGAACAGCAGTTGCGTGCTGTCCGTGCAGAGCTCAGCGACGTCCAGCGCGAGCTCCGGGGCCTGGAAACTGAAAGGTACCAACATTCCCTCCGCCTGGGGTGGTTGGAAAGGCTTGTGCAGCGATTGCATCAGGTGTTTCGCTCCGAGTCTTAAGCTTCTTTTGCGGGGGATGAGTGCTGAAGCTTTTTATCCGGATGAGGGGGCCGTCTCGCAGTCTGTGGAATCAGGTCAGCAGGTCCCTCTGTCTGCCATACCTGCCAGCCCAATATCTCCGCATTCGGCTGTGGTCGAGGGCACACCTGATCAGGGTCCCTTAGCGGCCTTCATGAGCAGCCCCGTCGAGGGCGATGATCTTACTGAGGAGCAACTGGGGAGCCTGATGTCTCGCGAGGACACACAACTTCCCCCTGACGACGACCCGACTGCAGGCCGTTTGGAACAGCAGCTTGCAGGCTTCATTGCCTACGGCGGCAGTGCAGGTGATTGGCATGCCATGAACTCAGGCTTCATTCTTGCAAGGCATTCCCGTCAGGCGATGCCGTGGGAAAGAGTGACGAGGCCCCGCTTGGGGCCCGGCTTCATGTTCCAGGAGCCGTTGCTAGGTCGCTTCGACGGTCTTAGGAGGGCGGCGATCCCCGCCCCTGCAGCAGGGCCGTGGGCATGGGTGCCCAAAGGAACTTACGAGGCCAGGCGACTTCTCGCAGCAAGGTTTGCCAAAAGCGATGACATGCTTAGGCTTACCGCACTTAAGAAAATTCGGCTCATCGTGCTTTTCTTCCCGGATGACTCGGAGCTTGGAAGGAACCTTGTGGGTTCTGCAGGCTCCCTGGTGGAGGAATCCATGCTGACCTCGACCATCGAGGACACCTTTTCAGGCAGAGCCGCCAGCACCCTTCTGAAGCGTGCCTCAGATTTCTCAAGGTTCGCCAAGTGGATCGTAGCTAGCAAAGGGCGCCCTCTGGCGCCTTCCGAGGGCGAGTTGTACGCTTATATGCTTCACTTGCGACGAGAGAAAGCAGGAGCCACTGCCGGCGAGTCTTTTCTCAAGGCCTATAGGTTCTTTGTGCACTTGACAGGGGCTGCGCAAGGCTCCAGGATTTCCCCTCGTGTGCAGGGAGCAGCCAAGGCGATGTCCATGGGCAAACGGCCGCTCTGGCAAGCTCCGCCCCTTCCGGTGGAGGCAGTGCGGCTCTTGGAAGAATTCGTCCACGACTCTGAGGATTATGCCAGGGCTAGCATAGCAGGGTTCATTCTTTTCTGCCTCTACTCCTCGGCTCGATGGTCGGATGCAGCTCGAGGGACTGACTTGAGCATTGACGTGGCAGGTAACGGGCTTGTCCTTCTTGAGTGTTCGACAAAACATTACAAGACGAAGGCCAAGGACCGAAAGGATACCGTGCTGCCTTTGATTGCACTGGGCAGTGGCTTAACTCAGCCCTCATGGGGACGTGTCTGGATGCGCAAGAGGGCCCTGGCAGGGCTACCGGACTGTGCCGTAATCATGCCGGCCATGTCGCCGGGAGGGAACTTTCTAGGAAGGGCCATGACGGCTGCGGAGGGTTCCTTGTGGCTTCGTGAGTTTTTGCACTTGCAGGGTTTCACGGGAGATCTTGAACAGTACAGCTCACACAGCCTGAAAGCAACCGCCTTGTCCTGGACGGCCAAGAGCGGGACCATGACCTACGAGGAGCGCCTTACTCAGGGGCATCATTGCAGTCCAAAGCACGGCATGGCTCTCCTGTACTCGAGAGATGCGCTTGCAGAAATCATAGTGAAGGTGGCCAAGGTCGTGAGTGCTGTGAGCAGGGGAGTGCTTAGTCCCGATCTCCCGCGAGCCGAGAGGGTCGCAAGAGCTCTGCATGGCGATCCGGCCGATTTTGCACATCTTCCTGAGACGACGGCTGAGGATTTGCCGGCCGAAGAGCCTCAGGATGAGAACAACTCCGAGGCTGGGTCTGACATAACGAACCTCGACGGTCTCGAAGTGGACCTGGGGGCACCGGCCCCGGAGGAGGTCCGTCCACGGCTTAGCTGCACGTTCTCGGGAGAGACCTACATGCACGTCTTGAGTGGAGTGGTGCATAAGTTGGTCAACCCCGGAATTTTTAAGTGCGGCAGGAAGGTCACGGCGAACATGCGTTTGATGGGGCCTGAGGAGGCTCAGGAGAATGTCTGCCAGCAGTGCGCAGCTTGAAGAAAAGAGGATGTGCTCAGTTGATCGTTTGCTGATTTGCGACGTCGTGCCTATGCCATTTGAGATGAGGGTGCCCGGGCCGATTGAGATCAGTGGAGTGTTTCTTGCTTCGGAGCACAAAACCGGACTGAGAAGTGTCCGCAGTCTTTTGGCTGGGAGTTGCCAAACTGGGGCGAATCTCCCGCGCGGCCTGGTGAGCACCCAGGCTTGAACTTAGCGGGAGTTTGATTGGGGGCTTTGAGATTGCAAGAACCCCCGTGGTCGGCTGCCTTTGCCGGCCTGAGTCATGAAAAATACTATTGGAACGCGACCGGCTGGGATCGCCGGTTCCCGAAGGCCGCCTGTGATCGGTGGCGAAGAAGTGTGAATCCGAGACAAACGCGACCCACGGTTGACTTCGCCGTGGGTGAGACCTCGAAACCTGTATCCTCACCTGCCCAGGTCTCATGGCCGGACTTGAATCGGTGCCTGCCTTCACCGACCGAGCAAAGCAGATCGGCATCAGCGAGGACCTTCTGACCAAGCTCCTTGCTAAGAGCTTGGACACCTTCGGCAAGCTAGCTTTCGTGTGCTCGAGCAAACCTTCCAGCGGGGATGACACTCCTCTCTTCGAAGCCCTGAAGACTTTGATTGGGAGTGAGGTTCCAGTGGAACAACATATGGTGATCAGGCGATTGTGGTACGAGAGCCACGCCCACGCCCTGGTTGACTTGGAATCGAGGGCTTCGAGAACAAGTGATACAAGCCCCCGCGAGCTTCCGTTGGCAGAACGCCTAACACGCTTGAAACGCCAAAGGGGGGAGCTTAAAGGCCTCGAGATGGATATCCACACAGAACCTGGACACGGCCTTGTGGACCGCGTCCAGGCCATGCTCGATTCTGCACAAGTGCTGCACATCGCGCCGGAAAAGTGCATTTCCCGCCATGACGAAATCTTGGGAGAGAAGACGGAGCAAAAGATCTCTTTGGGAGCCGATGGGAACATCAAGATTACGAAGCAAGCCTCGAGTCTCCGTTGCGAGACTACCGGCGAGCTCAAGCTTCGCCGGTGCTTCCTGCGCCGGGCCTTAGCGTTCGATCAAGTAGGGCTTGCCTCCTACACTGCAATGGAGTCTTGGCACAACCGCATGTTCCAGGCACTGCTTGATGTGCCTCCGGCGGGTTATCGCTACACTACCGTTCAGCAGCTGCTCGCAGCTGACCAGAAGCTTTGGCAGGTCGTGGCCCAGGAGAGCCGAGGTGACATCGTCGTCGGGGTCGGAGCCCCGGCTCCTCTTGATAAGCACATAGCCGCTGCTGCAACCAATCAGTTTGTCGTATCCTGCCTGACCCACCTTCCTAAGCCTGCCGAGAACCAGGCCCAACCGTGGAAGCCGAATAAGGGACCCGACAAGGGCAATCAGAAGGGAGAGAAGGGTAACAAGGGCAAAGGCCGCGGCAAAGGGAAGCAGAATCACAGCCAAGGCCAAGCTGATGCATCCTCGCAACCGTCCCTGAAGGAGCTGCTGGAGTCGTTGCCCGAGGGCTGCGTGCGGGCCAACGATGATGGCCGTTTCATCTGCCCGTTTTACGCATCCATCATGCGTGCGTGAATGGGTTTTATTTTCCGCCGAAAGTGTAGACAAAGTTTGTCGAAAAAGGAAAACAGTGTTTTCACTTGTGTGTGAGTGACACTAGACAAACTTTGCCGTGCAGCTTTCGGCTTGGAGTTGGATCTGTGATCCAAAAAGTTTTTGTAGAGTAGCTTGTAGTGCTCCGCAGCAGTGGGGGTCGTCAGCGACGTCCTTCCACTCCCCTTTTTATAACTGTCAGTGGCAGTTATGGTTGACCAAGCAGCCCGCAATTACGCGGCTGAGTCGCCAGAGGCGCCGTACCCTAGAAGGGACGGTCGAGAGAATCAGTTGGCAGCGCCACAATGTTTGCAACGCGTGCGACAGTGTCGCTCCTGCCTCCGTTTTTTGCAGTGCAATCCAATTTTCGTGCTAGAGCAGGCCATGCGT